AAAAAAAAAAAAAAAAAAAAAAAAAAAAAAAAAAAAAAAAAAAAAAAAAAAAAAAAAAGAGGAGGAAGAAAAAAACGGAAAAGGAGAGTCGTCGCAGGTAAGTACGGAGGAGTACAATAGGTATAGAGAGCAGAGTCCACGAGAAGGCGGCAGGTGGGGGAGAGGAACGGCGGAGGCGCGAGTACATAGTGACGTGGACGGGGCCTCGGTGTCGGCTCATATACCTGCGCGACACGTGACGTCACGCCCGGCGCGCTCTCATATTTTTCTTTTTTTTTTTTTTCTTTTTTTTTCCTCTCTTATCAGGAGTAACTATACTTACGACACTATACCTACACACTCACGCACGGGCGGGCAGGTATACAACATCAGCGCCACGGCACGTATATAGCATGTATACCGTGCAGGTATAACCAATTGTACTCAACTGCCACCTGTTTGATTGTACCAACTTATTGCGATCGAGAATTCGTGCAGATGACGGTGGCACCCGCAAACACCAAAGACGAAAATCCCCGAGAAGTCCATTTTCACTCCCACGATCGCACGATTTAGTTTTCGGCGGCACCGAACAACCGGGACATTATTTCTATACCGATGTAAATACGGACAGCCGACTAGTGGCGCGCTTTTTCCTGCCGCGACTCATCCTCTTGCTCTTTCGCGTAGCGCAATCGCAGGTGTATACATGCACACTTGCTTGTAAATAGGAGAGGAGGTGGTGCAGATAAAGTATAACCAAGCGATGTGCATGTAACCATGCTGTATCGGTTATAGTTACTATGGTATTTTTTTAAACGATAAGAATACAATTACCCAAGGTACGTTTTAAAGCGCGCCTTTTCTCATTGTCGCGTCTTACACTTTCATACGTATGTACCGTTTGGCTTGAGCGAGGATACGTAGTCTCGAGGGTATTTACCTTTGCATATCATGTGGCGATGAAATTAAAAATATTCCCTATAGTATACAATATGTACCCTTTTGTCCTCGTGCGTCGACCCCGTTTTTAGGCCAAAAGAACTGAATTCTTCAAAAACACATTCGTTCAGGCATCACGGGTTATATATCTATACCTTATATTATACCACTGCACATTGTCATGTTAAATATAGCCGTATATACTTAGGGTTGAGCTATATACATTATAGTATGTATACCCATAGATAATGGTAATGCGATGAGCCAAGTTATTGGTAATTATGTATGAAATGCGAGAGTTTCAAAAAGTGTGAACGAACTATACAGCTATATGTATACATGTGACTCATTGCCGAGAAACCGAACTTGAAATTGTTTTTCAATGTAATCCAATAATTGTCCATCCTGTTGCGCGTTACGTATGCGGCACTTTTGGCAATCAGGGGACGACAGTTATCGCCGTTGACGTGACGGTTATTCCTTGCTGTTCCGAGTCAACCGACCGCAGCTTCGTTTATTAGGTAACAGGTAGTTGGACGACGAGTGGATATTGTTGCGCATCTCTTGTTTTTTTCTCTGTCGAATAATATTGTGTAGGTTATAATGTATTTTGCGCCCGGGGAGCCATAGTAAATAATATTTTGGGCCTCCTTTACTACGCACTTTTGAAAAATAGTAGCGGGAAGCAAAGGTAATGGTGGGCACTTTTTGTTGGTGTGTCAATAACTTGGTTGCCAGCTGTCTCCACTGTATACGTTCGTCGTAACTGCAATATAAGTGCCATTGAACATAGGGATTTTCGTAACCATTGGAGCGCGAGATAACGAGATAAATGTTGAAAAAAAAAAAAAAAAAAAAAAAACTAAAAAACGAAAAAAAAGAAAAAAATCTTTCCAAATTGATTAATGCAAATTTTCCTCCGTATAATCTAAATGGTATAAATAGCTGTACGAAAATAGGCTGTCCCTCGACCTTACACATTTATGCGTGGCCCTTGTGCCGATCACCGGCTGATAAATTTCTCAAACCTTGACCCTATGACCAGCGCTTTCACATTAAGTTGCCCTCGCCGTACATACACATTTTTTTCCACAAACATCCTTTGTACTGGGCTTCTTCGTTACACTTACTGACGCGGTAAAATATTTCACTTCTCGCTCTAGCAGCAAACAACGTTTCCACCGAATGCAAGTTTTTATTTGAAAAAAAAAAAAAAAAGAAAAAAAAAACAATTCCATCGACGAAAGCGATTGACACCAAACGACAAAATAAAGTGAAAAATTTCAAACCACGCCTTACTAATGTTAAACACTCGCTTGAAATATTGTCATTTTATCGCGTCGCTGTATAAGTATCGTTCCTCAAAAGGATCTTCGCGCCTCGTACATCACACATTCCACTCGCCTTCGGAGCGAAGTCTTCACCTTCGAATGTTTGTCCACACTCTCTGCTTATCATGAATATTTAGGTCGTTGTCGAACCGTCGCTATTTGTTGGCAGAAACCGAGGAGGAGGCCCTCGACGCGGGGCTATTTTAATGGGATCGTTTTAAGGGTTGGTCTATATACATATACACTCGAAGCTTTTGCGACGCGCGCGCGAGTGTGTGTACACCGTAAGTTGGCGGCGGAGATAGCTGATGGGCGGCGGAATTTGAATTGCAGATACTCGCACTAGTGCCCGCGGCCGAGATACCGCGATATATAATACCCACACTATACTGTCCCGTGTGCTGCAGGTGTGTGTGTGATATATAATAGGTTAAGAGGGTGCCGCTTCAAGATGCCGTTGGCTCGTTCCCGTTTTCGGAGCTGCGCCCCAGTGTGCGAATTCGATTTTCAAAGTGCTTTTTACCTTTTGAAATATAGTTGGCAAAACGCGGATTCGCGATTTCATCGAAAATCAGCAGCATATTATATGCACCTACTTTGTAATTTGCAAGTACAAGAGGTGTCATCTCGACCGACTGCTCATGAACGAGCAGGAACGAGTATTTAAAACCGTGAAAATTAAACAACAACCACCGAATTACCAGCCGAGGGGATAATTCCTCGCAACCGTGGTAACTGATTTATGGCCCAAAGTTGTTTTAACGTTTGCACAATATACGCGAGCGTGGACCACCCTCTTGTTTTGTTTTCCCCTCATGCTAAATCCGCGCGTAAGCACCGGGTAATAGTCATTATCGGTAACACGGGGACACGCGTACGCGTATAGGCACGGCAAACTAGAGTATCATTGAGATGGGGGTTTTTTTTCCTCTCGACTTTTCGAACGAAGGAGAGGAAAAAGAAGGAAAAACCCCCCCGAGCAAGTCTTTCCGACAACAACGCTGATTCACCCGGAGCAATCAGTGTTGGGTGTGTGTGTGTGCGATCTCGTCAACCGCAAGGCCACGGCAGCACGAGCCATCCATCTGTGAGGCCCCCCGGCAACGACGATCCTTCTCGCGGAGTGGCAGTAGACGAGCAACATATACCTTACGAAATATCGACTGGTTCCGCGGGTTGAATTATCGCGATGCACACCACCGAAACGCCTCCTCCTCCTCCTCCTGCTCGCGTGCACCGGCGCGGTGAATCAAGCGGCTTTTGCTCCTCGCTTTTCTCTTCCGGGGACGATACGGCTCGGGGCGAGGGAGGAAACGCGATCCTCGGCAACTGCGGACAAAGAGAACCCTCACACTGTCGC